TACTTATTTTATCCTTAAAAAAATAAAAAACTATTTAATAAGATAATAAATAATTAAAATTGAAAGATAATTATAAAATTAAAGAAAAAAATATTTGTCTCTCTCAAAATAAAAAAAAATTACTATTATTTTGAAATAAATTTTTAAAAAATATCTATTATTTCAAAACAAAAGGAGTATTATTAATGTTTTATTAAAATGAAAAGTTACACAATTAAATCAATCCATCCTCTTTAAAAGAATGAGACAACTAAATCAAATAAAAAAATATTATAATTATTTAATTAAGAGAATTAATTGTTCTTTCATCTAATCATTGTTATTTTAGAATCTAATATGTAAAATATATTACGAAGAGTCTTTTTATTTATTTATTTATTTTCTTTATCACAAAACGTGCTTGCAGCGTGCATGTCTTAAAAGAATGAATATTCATTTCAGTCTTTTCAGGTGTGAAAAAGCAAATATACTATTTTAGTAATCTTAACGCACTCCTCATTTATTAATAGAATTTTTGTATTTTTTGTATATTTAAAAGATAGATTGAGAAAATGCTTTCTGTTTCTTTATTATAATCTTTTGATTTATTTTTAATAAATTTAGTTTAATTTTTTTTTTTTTTTAATATAAATTTTAAATAAAAATTTTATATATTATATAAATAATAATTAAAAATTCTTTTTGATCAAATAAAAATATTTGGCAAGAATTTCATATAAATTTTTTTTAATTATTATTCATATAAATTATTAAATTTTCATTTAAAATTTATATCTAAAAATAAAAAAATCAAACTAAGACTACTAAAAAAAAAAATTTCATATAAAAATTTTAATTATTATTCATATAAATTATTAAATTTCCATTTAAAATTGTGTCTAAAAAATAAAAAAATCAAACTAAGACTACTAAAAATGAACAAAGATAGTAAAAGCTAAACTAAAATGATAATTTTTAAATAGGTAATTTTAACTCTTCTAAAAATTAATTTCAACTTCTAAGGACTTTGTTTAATTGGTGGTAATAATTATTTTTTAATTAAATTATAAAAATTATTCCCTTGTCTTAAAATAACCATCCTTTTTTTACCTTAATTATGTTCCAAATTAATTGTAGTTTTTTTCATTTTTCAAAGTAGATAAATATTTTTTTCCTATTTTAACCCTATCATTATCCATCCGATTTAATTAATTATCCAATTACAAAAAATCTCTCTTCATCTTTTATTTCTTTGTAAGGATATTATAAATAAAAACAATTATTGTCCCAAATCCTTAATTTGAGAAAAAGCAAACTAATAATAGTTTTTTTGAAAGAGGATGAGCACTA